CTTCTTCTTCTTCTTCTTCTTCTTCTGAATTTCCAAGAGATGGGCTCTATAATTTTCCCCTCTAACTTTTTTGCCCATGAAATCCTTTTTTTTCCCCTTATGAAATTTGGGACCAGTGTCAAAAGGGAACACACTTCAAACACTGCAGGTTCATCTTTCCGGTGTTTGATCGATGTAGAAGGTTTCTGAGAGGAGAATATGTATCATGGATTTAACTTCACGCTGTTCCCCAGAAGCAAGTGGTATCTCTGAGTAGCTCTGCATCAAAGTTCAATTAAAACTCTTCCATCAGGCATAGAACCGTAATTCAGCTGACATAATTTCCAGACAAGAGCGAGAAGCTATTCCTGGGTGGCCGCTTTACCTCTGAGCTGGGAGATGAACCTTTAACATCTCGTTTCCTTTCCGAAGTTAGTTCATCAGCTAAGCCCAGTAGCACGATACCAATGCCATTAGTTTCTGAAAGATGCCTGTAAAAGAATTTTTTAAAAACCCTGCCTGAAGTGGAAATGATAAGGAGCTCATATATCAAGTACAGATTTTGTGCTGCATTTTCCAGAAATTTAAACCTTGATATGCAGACCTGAAAGTGTTCCAGTCCCTAGCTTATGGTATTGCCAGGGGTTCTGTTTATTTTGAAAATAGTATGCTTCTGCTCTCAATAGTGGTCTGAGGGGAAGTATTACATAGCCATTATGAACTGAGAATTCAGAAGCAACAGAGTTCTCTCAAAATAGGCTGGAGCCCCAAAGAAGGCCTTGCCCGAAGGAACAACAGGAAAACTTTTTGGGAGAATGGACTTTGGAATGAGACAATCCAGCAGTCATTTCCGGGGTACCCAAGCAAACCTAAAGTATAGAGAGTATGGGATGTGCTCTGGACACCACTTGAAGAGGGAACCCTTGAGCAGTTTTCTTTAACCATGGCCATTTTCAAGTCTGTCTCAGAGGAAGTGTAACTAGGCTGCTCCTTAGAGGCAGGGATGGTTAGACTTCATCTCACATACTTTGGGCATGCTGTCAGAAGGGGCCAGTCCTTGGAGAAAGACAGTGTGTTTGGAAAAATAGAAGGACAGTGAAAGAGATGGACTGACACAGTGAATGTCACAGTGGACTTGACCATGGAAGAGGATGGTGCAGGGTAGGGCAAGGTTTCAATGTGTTGTTATGAGTTGTAGTCAAGACGATGGGAACTAAAAACAACCTATCCATTGCCAGCTGTAAGAAATCACTTAGCAAGTTAAAACTATTGCGTTCATATTTGAGGGTCTCCATTCTCAATCAAGGCAAACTGTTATGATTCTCTTCTGCTGAAAGAGAAAATTCGGTACAGACACACCACTGTAGAGTCAATTAAACTTAAAGGAACTCTGCAGGACAGTGAAGGTAGAGAGGGCTTCCAAGGCCAGAAATCTCTGTGGGAGGAGGCTGCCTCATGTTTCTCTCATAGAGTGCCTGGTGGGATTGAACCACTAACCTTTCCATTTGCAGCCCAGTCCTTAACCCACTCTTTCCGCAGTGTTCCCAAAGACAGAGAAGACACTGAAGAAAACACCTGACACTGAGCACATCCTAGATCAATTTTCATTAGTGGAAGCAAGGAAGGTGCAGCTATCATTTCCATTTGGCATCACGTGTTTAGTAAGAGTGATTCGACTAAACCTGCACTTCTGAGCTGATAACATGGTATCTAGGGAGTTCTGGTGCTTGGTGATAAGGAGTTGTGCTGCTAACCCAAAAGTGTGCAGTTTGAATCCACCACTGCACCATAGGAGGAAGATGGGTAATCTCCTCATGTGCTGTTTACTGCCTCTGAAAACCCGTCAGAGGGGCAGCTCTGAGCTGGTTCTGACTCAACAGTACCTGACATGAACATGAACATCATGGTAGATAATATTATAGTAAAAGATGGATGTCAGATGGCTGGACAAGGGCACATTTCATCGCTCGCCATAAATGGCTTTAGTGTTGACCGCCTCTCTGATAGTAATCAGAGAGGCTGAGCATGTCCTTTGATTACTCACAGCTGTCTTCCTGCGTCATACTTGGTGTGGAGCTGCCAAAGGTAGTCTAGGCTGGCACCAAGCGCTTGTAAACATCATTGACTTGGTAGATGACTTCAGTTATTAGCAATTTCTGTCCTGGGCCCCTGGACAGCTTGGGATATTGGAGCAGGGCTTTGCCAGGAGTGCTTCTCAGTGCTCAGCTGGGCATTGGGGCTGTGCAGATTCTGTGCAAGACTCAGACAAGTCCTGCTGCACAATGTGCTGGAAATGAATGTGACTTGGTCTATTTTCCATTTCCAAGTTCAAACTGGAAGCCGGATGGATGATGTATCAAGAAGATTGACGGCTGAGGGAAAGGACATAGATGATCTTAAGAAAATCAACAACATGATTGTAAAGCGCCTCAACCAACTGGAATCTCAACAGAACTAGAGACATTGTCTCCGAAGAGCATAGACTATCGCTTTGAGTCACTGATGTGGACAGTTAATAACTGTGGTAAAGCATCTGTGCAAGGGCCAGATTATCTAGACAATGAGGCCGGCTTAGGGGTCCTCTTTCTGCTGTACAGATAAGATTTACTCCAAAGAATAGGGGCTTGGGGAAAGGGCACATAGAGGAGAACTGAGAGTAAGCAGTAAAATTCAGTTAGCATACACAGCTCCCCTCGCAAAAGGAACTTTGTTATCAGAACAAGTTCATCGTGCTCATCAGATTCACAATGCTTTGTGCATCTTTGCAAATTCCTGCAGAAAAAGTTAGTTTTAAATTACATTGTGTTGAAGGGAATCACATGGTGACACCCTTCAATAAAAAGAGATTCAGTTCAGCTGATTGGACATTGATTCAGAATTTCCCTGAGATGGGTGGGTCATCTGGTATACGTTGAGATGTGTAGTAGGGGCGCACATCACCGTAAGCTTAATTCATTCAGCTAATGTTTATTGAGCTGCAACTCCAGTTTAAGTGCCCTACTTTATTGCCTTTGAGTTAAGCATGACTCATAGTAACACTATGAACAAAAGGCTCAAAGCCCCTCTGCAACTATCGACATTTATCAAAGGTCAGAGAGTTTTCAAGGCATGTTGTTTAAGAAGTGGATATATATATAATAAATGCTTTAAGAGGAGTTCATCAGAGAAAGAATCAATTCCAGGCTGTAGGGTAGAATGGGCTTGTGAGTAAGGGAGTTTTCGAGGTACCTGTTCATGGTTGGGCGGTTCAACTGCTCTTTGTTGAGTGTAGTGTGGTTATTTTTTTTTAAATGAAAATTATATAAGTGTCATTTATTTTGCTTCTCAGGAAAAGAAATCCATTCATATCCTGCTGATTAAAAAAGCTCCATAGATTTATGGCCTTTGGTAAAGTATTTGTAATACTTGGAACCTGACTTGTTTTTGCACAGAAGTAAGGCACACAGAGTGCATGACATATGACGTGAGATTATTGTGAAATAAATGAGTTTTGAAAGCAGATGAGTCTTAGAACAATATTTAATCTAAATATATTGTGTAAGTCAATTAAAGAATGTATTGTGATTCTGTCATCCTGGGTTAATAAAAATCATTTGGGCTTGCTTGAAAATAAAACATACACACACATGCACTTTGTAATCCTCAGGATTGAATTAAATAACCATAATACATTTTACTTATCTATTTTTATCTGCAAAAGCATTTGGACTGAATACTCATTTCTTAGAATTGATAGGTAGCATGCAGAATACATTTTAATATTTGAAATATGTGTTTAATGGAAAGTTCTCTTTGATGACAAAACAAAAACAAAACAAAACACACCACCATCAAGTCAGTTCATGGTGACTCCTGGTGACCCGCCATTGGGCTTTTCAGGCTGTTTGGGTGAATTTGAACTGCCCACCTTTTACTGAGCAGCCCAATAAATTATACATTATGTCACCAAAGTGTGGCAAAAACAGCACTTGTGCCTAGGCTCTGTTGTAACATCTTTACAGAAACATGAAGGATCTGCTGCGATGCTTGAAAAGGATCCATTTCTTTCCATTCATCAACTTGCTTATATGTTCTTCGCCTCCTTTATACCTGCACAACCGGTGAGCTTAAGATTCAGTGACAAGGGACCTTCATTCCTAGTAATTTGTGATTTTGACAGCGTGACATCAGGTCTGATAGGCTGTTTTGGATCCGTCTTTGTGACCTGCACTGCCTGATTGTTTGACACAGATGGAGTGGTGGTGACCCCGCTCACCTTCCCCCCCCATCACTCACAGCCTAGATCACAGTCACCTTGGCTCCTGGTGTTCGTATCCACAGCTTAACAGCCTCCATTGACCTTATTTGAATATACTGACTAGACTACTGTAGTCTTATGCCAGCGAAACACAGTGGTTTGGAAACGTGAGCTCAGGAGCCCAACTACCTGGTTCGTATCTAATTCTGCTAGGATTACTATGAATTTGGAGATCAATCTACTTGCTGTCTTATCAGTAAAAGGGGTGAGTGTGGAACCTATCTTGTTGTATTGGTTAATAAAGGTCAAGGGCTTAAAGAGTGTCAGAAACAGGGTAAGTCCTCAGTGAACACAATGGTGTTCTGACCCAAGCTGACTCTATGTGGGTCACAGAGAATGGTCCTCCAGGGGGTTTCAGAGCCTTTGGTAAGAAGATTCACAAGGCTTTCTCCCAAGGAACCTCTGTGTGCACGCCAACCTCCAATTCCATGACACTTGAGCACTGAACTATTCATTCTACCCCGGGGCTCCCAGCTTCACCATCACCGCAGCAGTAGTTTTAAAAGCATGGATTTATTTCATGCTTGGTAGATCAGAACCTCTGAAGGGAGGGTCAAGGCATGTATAGTTGGTTTTCTTTTCAGCTTTGCAGGAGATCTGTTGGTGGATGAAGTGGGAAACGCCCGTCTGTCACCCTTGCCAACTCTTACTGTTCTTCTTACAGAATTCAGGACAGTGCTGGTCACGGAACACATGCTCCATACTTGCTCACCAAGTTACCTGTTCAGAATTGTTTTTCATTGCCTTGAAAATTTGTGTTAAAAAACAGAATTACATTTGAACATTGCTTTCCATATAAAAAAAAAAAGTCCAATAGGAAGCTCTTCGGGAAGTAAGTAGGCACATGGCTTCCAAAATAAAATTTTCATCTCTCTTCTCCTTAAAAAGAAAACTATAATTCTTCACCCTGGAGAGATAGCTCAAAATCCTAACTCTCCTTTTCCTTCTCACGTCTTTCTTTGAGCAAACTCATTCACAGAAGCAACGGATTCCAGTCCCTTCTGAGGACCTATTTCTTTTGCTCATCTTTCTTTTCTGCATATAGATAAGGTAATTATTTCAAGCTGGAATTGATTTCTTTTTCTACACCCTGACTCAGAAAAATCTTGTTTCTATTAAAATTATCTAAGCAATAGGATTTGATTATAACACGATGGTCTGTGCATTCCTTTCTAAGACAAGTCCAAGTGACACACGCATCAAAATTCTTCTCATTTCCCTATGGTGTTGTTGACAAGAACAGAGCAATTGTTTGTGTGTTATTTTTAAACCTCATGATTTGCTTTGTTCTTAACCAAGAGCCTTTGCTTCAGATACTGGTTCTTCTGGCAAAGACAGTTATGGCCTGATTGTCCCAAGGGTTTATTTCCAATGGATAAATACCTTTTGTTTTCTAACAGCAGCTCAGAGCCTCTCTGGGATGCATGTGCTTTTGTCCTATGTTGCTCCGTACTATTTGAGATGAGCAGTATCTGACTATGTGCTGACTTTTATTTTCATTCTCAGGGAACATCAGTAGATTCTTGTCAAAGACCCTATACAAGTCTCCAGACAGACACTCTACACTTCAATCTTGTTTTTCTTCTCATTCTCATTTCATCCCTTTACCTCTACTTCCCCAAACCTAGATTCCTCAGTGTGTTTGTCTTAGGTTCCAGCTGAAGAGATGCACAGTTTAACTTTTCTGAAGGTCCACTGAAGGCTGCTCTGGTAGCAAAAGCTGTTGAGTTGACCCTGGGACACCCCAAGAGTAAGGAATGTGAGGAGAATTCAGGCAAAGCCTCTGCTCCTCTCACTGCCCAGGAGGACCTGGGAGGGTGGGTTGAGAAAAGTTGGCTGTATCGTAGAATCATCCCTTCCTGAGCTCCACCTCTACCAGGTCTTTGTTTTGAGTAGGAAACTTCTGCCTTGAAGTTGGTAGTCCCTTGAGTAGAGAATACTGCCATCCCTAGGAAAATTTTGTGTCCTAGTATGTAAGGCATTGAACTGCCAACCCAAAGACAGGTGGTTCAAATCCACTAGCTGCTCTTCAGGAGAATGTTGAGCAATCTCCTCCCTTGTGACTTACAGACTCTGAAAACCTGCTGCGAGGTTAGCTAGGAGTCGATTCTGACTTGAGGCGATGCATTGTTGAGTTGTAGAGAATGATGTCTGAATAGTCAGATGTCACTCCTTTTAATTGTAACTAGTCATGAATGGCTCAGAAACAGTTCTGCCCTTCATAAACATTGGGGTAAAAATACGAGTAATAAATGACAAAGACTACAATGATCAATCAAAAGCAAAGGCAACCTGTGCCACGAACTGCAGTCAACAATTCATTCAAACCTCTGTGCTGAAGGAGGAAAAAATCTTCTTGAAAAGAACAATGACTTGGCTACCACTCAGTGTGCTGCCATTCCAAAGATGGCAAAGAGAACAAAACTTAGTTGAGTTGTTCTCTGTCTTTGTAAAACAGTCAATTGGATAAATACACACACACAAAACCCAACAAAACTTTGGGCTACACCTAAATGACACTCACCAGCAAGGAATAAAGAAATCCGATTGGACCTGTAAGCAGTCACTTAATTGACCAGAATGAAATTCAAGGGAGCTTTTATGTTGGCCTCTTTCGGTCTTTCTCTCTGGATATTTTCCCCTCCAGGTCAGTGTGATTGATAGACTGATTTTTCAGCAGACATTTGCTTTCAAGCCAGTGACCTAGGGAGTAAGACGTGCAGAGATGAATAAAGACAATGAAAACAGCATTGGTCAGAAAGGTCTGAAAGAAGATCCCCTGCAAGGCATCAATATTTGAGGACAGGATGCTTCATGTCTTCACAGGTAGATGAATGAGGAGGCTAGGAGAAGCCTGAATCTGGCAAAAGGAAGTTATGTTCCTAATTTTCCTTTATCTCCTGGCTTCCTCTGACTCTCACGTTTTCTTTTAAATTTTGAAACAGGATTCATTATTCATGCATGAATCCACAAAGAAATGGATTGTAACAAGCTCATTCCATCAGGAACGTTCTCTCTGAATGCAGAGTGTTGCCACCAGCGCATTTATCATCCAAAGAACAAATGGAACAGACCAAACAATTTAAAAAACACTTAATAATTTAAGTATGGCTTCTCAGATGCTAGAGATGTCCCATTTCTCATGACCTAACATGATTTTT